AATTGTGAAATTATACCCCGACTTATGCGAATTCGACTTACGCAGTTATCGCTCGGTCCCACCTATCGCGTAAGTTCGGGGTATTACTGTACTGTATTCTGCTGTTTCATTCAGCATACTGACCACATAGAATGTGCAAAGTGCTGTAGAAACATTATATCACATTTCCAGCTATAGGTTCCTGATATCAAAACGTTCAAAATTTTATTTTCTACAATCCCCCAAATTTTTAAAATGTCATTCTGATACACCCTATATATATACACCAATATATTCATGTATTTTTCTTTATGATTTAATATATATATATATATATTAAATTACAAAGAAAAATACATGAATAATATACTTCATTTTAGTTATTTAATTGAAACTAAATACTTTTATTTTAAATAAATTGTTTTCATTAAGAAGTTTAAATTTAATGTTTTTGTTGAGAACCATAATAGCACATTAGAATTATCAAATTATCACAAAATATGAAATTTAATTATTTATAGTATTAAATATCAATTTATTTTAATAAATTAAATCAAAGTTAATATATTGGTGTACATAAGATTCATATGAAAGAGCATATTTGCAGTTTGTCGTCAGATAAATTAAAATTCAAGTCATGTAAAAAGTAAGATTTTAATGGGAAAAGATAAATATTATTAAACATTTGTGGAATTGGTTTTCTATATCTGTAACATATCAAGCAATTGAAATTTAATGTCCTCTTATCTAAGTACTCTCATATAATTTTATCATTTCACATAAAATTTTAGAATGACAAATTTTTAAATTAAACACAAATGATATTTATCAGTTTGATTTTAAAAATTAAATTAAATTAAATTGTTAATAAAAAAATTCGACATTCACTTTAAATTTTTTATAATAATAATGTTTTTTGTCACAAAAATCTGTTATTTTATCATCATAAAAATTTATAATATACATAAATTCCTCTTCTAGAGAGCACAATTTCTAGTTTCACAGAACCATTTCTTAATTGATAATCTTATTCCATAGCTTATTGAAATAATTTAAATTAATTGAATCTAATAATATATTTAATATGTATGTTTTTTACTTAAGAATGTTTAAAAAATTATACATAAAAACATCTTGTTATAATTTAAATCTAAGATATTTTGTTTATATAGGAAACATTTGAAAATTAAGTTTCAACTTGTCTTTATAGATTTGTTTCTTTAATTTATATAATATAACACCAAAAAATCTCAGTATTTTATGTTTGAAATTTATTACCAGCTATACTGCCTAGATGTACAGAACAACTGATCTTTGCTTCCATATATGTATTACTTTAGATCAGTGTTTCTCAATGGGAGCGATATCGCCCCCATGTGGGCATTTTTCCATGTTGAGGGGGCGATTAGTAACAATTTATATTTTGGGGGGCAAAAAACAATTTTCTGGGCGATATAGTAAAACATTATATTAAGAATAATTAGATATTTTATTCGTTATATCGTACAATAATTAAACAAATAACATTATACTAGTCACTAGTCTATTCAATGCAGTACGAATTTGGCGTTAGCCTTGGCCCTCGACATCGGAATTTTGAAGTGAAGGGGGCGATACTACGTAATGGTTTTATTGAAGGGGGCGATACTACGTTGAAGGGGGTGACGATTCGTTAGAGGTTGAGAAACACTGCTTTAGATCATTCATCACACCAACTGGGGACATCTAATATCCATGACTTTTCAAATCACTTTGACCATTCAATTAATATCATTATTATGATAATTAATTATAAACTAGTAGTTGAGATCCTTAACGTCTTTATGATTATTCTATTGTATAATGAATTTCGAACAATAGACTACTGATAATAACCTTAAATTATATTTTTTGTATAAATTTTCATAAATATGGTGCATTCTCACTAATCCAAACTAATTATTTGTCTCCACACACCGGGATATGATAAAAAATAATCCTTACTTTTAACCTTGTAATCAGAGTGGTTGTGTTATATGTTAGCAAACGTTTTCGAGGCCCCTTCTGGGCTCATCTTCAGGCTTTTCTATAAATAATAAGCCTGATGTTGAGATTAGAATATTTTCTTTTGAGCAGTTTATCATTTGAATCGTCGCACGCGCAAACCTTCCAGCCAATTTAAAAATGAAATGAGCAATGTTTTGTGTAATCCAAACTAATCATTATATGATGTTCAGATTAGTGAAAAGTTTAGGTTTAGTGGCATTGTATATAAAGAAAAGAAAGTCACTCCAAAACTAATAAAAATACAATTTATGTTCATTTTTGTTGCAACTAGTAGGAATGGTTTTCACTTTTTAATCTGTTGTTTCATTAAAAATTAAAATATATAAAAACATGAAAAAGTTAGTGAAAATTTCTTAATAAATTTAATTTAGCTATTAAATACAAAGTATTGCATATTTCACTCACATTAATTTGTTATAATTAAACACAGCTGAATAAAATTTATCATTAATTTTGTTGCTATAGTTTAAAAAAATAAGCAGTATTAGTTTCGATTAGCAATTGCACTGTACAAGAATTTAATTTATTTTAAAATTCAATAAGACAGGTAAAAAAATTCTATTGTATATAATCTGTAAATCAAATTAAAATCAAAATAAAAAATCAAATGAAAAAATGAAAGCTTTCATTAAATTTACAATTTATATGAATTTATTTCATTGTATAAATTTGAGTTTATCGCATTTATATTATATTGTTAAGCTGAACAAACTTATTTAAAAGTTAATGATAGAAATAAATATCATTGACAGTAATCTATTTACATTTTAAAATTAACAACAATAAATTTCAATAATAAAACCAATTCATTCACATAAATTTAGTTTTTTTATTTTATTTTACAATTTAAAAGTTGTTTTAATGCTTAATTCTTAAAATAAGATTAAAAAATAAAAGAATTAAAGAGAAATTTAAATATATTCAATATTTTCTTTACATCTTTGTCAGTCAATCTCTGCTATTTTCATATGTGAGAATCTGGAGTTGGTAGATTATATTATTAACAAATTTATTTAAAATAATTGTTCGAAATTTTGTCATAAAATCTAGAAAAGCTGAAAAAGAAACTTCCTTTTTGGCTTGAGAAAAGCCAGTCAGTTCCTCCCAAAAGGATAGCTAGAGTGTGATGTTTCACTCTCTGTCCACAAGATTGCACAACTTCTGTCACATGTCGGAACCTTGGAGAGCTGTTTCCAATCTTTCTATTGGATGGAATTCAATATAAAAGGTGAGAGGTCACCTTTGAATGTGCTCTCGCCAAGGCTCTTGCCAATGCTCTTGTTCCTGCTAAGATGCTGTTGCCTTTGCTGAATGCTTTAGTCCCTTTCCCAGTTCTCTACCTTTGCTTGTTCTCAAGGACTCTCAACTCTCTACAATGAACAAATATAATAGGTAATATAATTATATTATGTAAACTGTCTCTCGTCAGGGTAGATTTAGTGGACTAGGATTTGAAGTCCTCTCCTTTGTATTAATATCAATACTAAACATTTTTGTTTTATTCTTATTATAGTTTTGAATCTCCATTTAATATGTATATATGATAGATATAGTTTTTGATTAAATAAATATATAGATATATTCCTAATTGTTCTTCTATTTGATTTATGCCTAACTCTATTGTCGACCCACATAACTCAAAGCAGTCTTGGCACATCCTGCATACTCATCCAACCTGGCACCATATGATTACTTCCTTTTTGGCTGTATAAAAACAACTTCATGGATGGCAGTGGGTCAAGTTGTTGTCTTCATCTGCAGAAATAATCACTGCATTGCAGACTATATATGCAAATCCAGAAAATGCTTTTCAGGAGTTTTTTCAGCAGTTATATTGATGTTGGCAGTGCAGTGCATTGTGACCAAGAGAAAATGAATGTGTGTAATAATTTGCTTAATAAATGTATTTTTTCGTAATCTGCTTAGTTCTCAAACTTTTTGACTAATATTATAACTTTTAAAGGTCTTTGACAAATATATAATGTGTCGTATTATTTACAGATTTTATACAAAGCATTTAAACACTAGTCACAAAAAGCTACAAAACATCATTCAAGTATCAGTGTAAGGAGCAAAAGGTACTTTTTCGCAGACAAATATCAATGTTATGCATCTCAGCAGTCTCCTTGATCTCAGCCCATATTTGTGAAGACTGTTTTATATTGTTTGAGTTCATTCTGTGACATCAGAAACATCTCAGAGTGATTCCTTGAGCTGGGTACTATGTTAGTAGGCCTTCTCTGAGGACTTAGTGACACATCTTGACTTGTGGTGATTATTCTAGGATGACCATTCTTGGGGTCAATCTATCATTTTCATGTTGTAGAAATCTTGTATGTAGCTAACTTACTATACTTTGATAACAGAAATAGAACTGTTGACACGTTACAGGCAGGTGTATGACAGATCAATATAGCTGCTGCTTTAGGAATTTCACGATGCTTAAAAGCCTTATGGACATCATTACAGGTTAATCTCACACTGAAGTCAATACATTCAGGAAACGTTTTAGACAAAGTAGTGAACATTCAGTTTTCCACTTCTGGCAGTTTTATCAGAGTTTGCATGCTTTGATGTCATGATGATAAACAACATATGATGTACTGTACCTATCCATATTCATAAGCAATTTCCAGTATATCATTGCATTAATAATTCTATGGCAATATCATTACATTTTATTCCAATTCTGTAATATTCCTAGCTTTTTTTTTTGTAACCAATTTATACAGTATTGCATAACTATTTACAATTTTTTTTAAGATTTTAGCATTTCTGTTTCTCTTTTTTTTATGATGAAAAATTGGTGTTAATTTATATTATTTACTACATTTTATGAATTTTATATTTTGCACTCAACTCTCAAGTAACTCCCACATTCACCTATTCATAAAAACTACTTTTGCATAGAAGCAATCTGTATGAATAGTATTTTATAATAAGCATATTTTTCAATTAACAATTTATTCTTTTAGGGAGAGAATTTTTTGTGGGACTTTCTTCATATACTAATGAAGCTGGAGCTAGAGCTTTAGCAGCTGCATTTCCTGAGTTTCCGGTGACACCAGTCAAAGTGTCTGGTGAATGGAGATTAAAGTCTTTTATGTCTGTGGCTGGTCCAGATATAATTTGTGTCAGTGCTGGACAAGAAGCTCAAGGTATACTAAAGGTGAGATTATTTTTATAATGGCTTTTTCAAAACAGCAAAGAAACAATTGAGTGATCTCAAATTTCAGACATTTGACTTTTGTACACAATACTTTGATATTTGTAAATTACTTTCATATACCAAATTTGAACTATCATATATTTACATCTTACATACAAAAATTTCAAGGTGCTAATACTTCCTGCTGAGTTTTGATTTTGCTGTTACCAAAATCAAATAATCAACCAACAGAAATAATAATAATAATTATTATTATTATTTATTTTCTGTTTAACCCATAGTTTTAATGATTTAAATGGGACCCAAACTTTTTGATTGGCAAGCCAAATTATTCATGTCTTATGTAAGTGGGCCACAAAAATTTTGTATATTCAGTATGTACATTTCTGTTTCTAAGCATTGTATACTAGTTGTAAATTTCAAGAATTGATTTCAGTTTCAAAATCTGTAGTATTTTGCTAATTGTTTAGAGTTAAGTGAATGCACTTTATAATGAGAAATGATTGATTATTGTTATATAAAGTATATTAAAATATTGTAGCTAGTATCTACAAAATCTGCTAATATACAGTGTATTTGCATCTACACTCTAATTCATTCCACATTTATTCATTTTTTATTTTGCTTCTCCATCTTGTTTACCATTGCTCTAGCTAACACAACTATTCAGCAAGACTTTTTCAGCTAACTCGTTAATTCAAAATAATTCATGCAATGAGCATGACTTATTTTCAGATTAGTAACAAGATTAAATTTACTTGATACAAGTAATCTGTCATTTTAAACAGTAACTCATGCAACAAGCTCTAAACAAGATTAATTTAAAATAATATGTTTGTTTACTACATACAGTAGAGCGTCGTTTATCCGAATCAATTGGGGACTGGGGTTGTTCAGATAACTTATTTTTCGGATAACCGATTATGTACGAAAAAATACATTAACCTATCCCGTGTTGAAATTTTTCTCCGTTGCGTGTCGCTTTGCGTTGAATTTTCGTCGATGTTAAGCCTAACATAAACTTTTTAAAATAANTCACATTTAAATTTTCTTTTTCTGTTATAGAATTGATACTGTTATAGTTTGGAAAATTTGATATATCTTACTTGGGATACTTTCCTAATTAATATTTTATATTTCTTGAAAATGTAATCCATTTTAAATATAGTTTGTAAGTTTTTTGTTTCAGCTCTTAATACTCTGTGTGAAATTTTAGTTTTACTATATTATTCTTGTAATTCTTATATATAGGCAGTCTTCTATTTTCAGACAACTCTTCATGCAAAACACTTTGATATTCTTAAATTGCTTTTCATATAGAAATTCATACTTTCGTACATTTTCAGCAACAGCCGACAAAAATTTTGTGCTATTGTGCAATAGTTTTGGTTTCAGTAACAACAAATCATTTGTGAAAACTAATTTTTATTATGTGTTTTCTGTTTAATATGTTTTATGTGCTACAGCATGTTCATTGTAAAATATAAAAATTTCCTACTTTAATAATAGATTTTATAAGTTTTGTTTTGTTTTCTGGGAACAGAACTTTTCTATATATGTACAAGGTGTCCAAACACACTCAAAAGCTGCAACCACTGATTAAAACACTTCACACCTCTTATACTTAATCTAGCACATAAAATTTAATGAACATGCAAACGTTTTCAGCCTTTAAACATTTTAAGGGGATTTTGTAACTTGATGTAAAAAACCAGCTCTCTTGCCTGATGAAGGCCCCTTAAAGTGGCTGAAAACATTTGTGCATTCATTAAATTTTATGTGCTTGAGTAAGTATGAGGTGTGAAGTTTTTTTACAGGGTTTCCACGAAAGATCCACATAATTATAAAATTTAATTTAAAGAAAACAAAGTGGGCTATTGAAATGTGGTTTGCAGTAAAAGAAAGATTGACTCAAAAATTTTTTAATACAGAAATTAATACAAAAGTTGAAGTTGTTTTGCATATATTCAGTGAACCTCAACTTATGCTCCTTTAGTTGAATGAAGAATTTCCAATCAGTAGCTGATTTCCTGCCAGGTACTGTTTCAAAAGGATGGTGCATTCCTTCACTGGGCAGTTTCCTTATGTAATTTGTTTCATACAGTGTTTCCTAGATCAGTAGTCCATGGAGAAATTTGGACATTGATCAACTCAAGGTTATGCAAAGTATTATGAAAGAAATGCAAAATGCTTGGTTGCTTTTTCTCACTTATTGGGGGTTTTTTATTTGAATCTTAAATCAAACACAAAATGACTGTTATTGATAAATAATAATGTCAATAAATCAAATAGTCCTTTATGTTTTGAAAAGAGCCAAGAATCATAAACAAATTTCAAACAAGCAGCAACAAACTTCACACTAATTTGTTATAATTAAACAAGTTATTTTCATATTAATAAAGTAAAATGGAACATTTATGATCATTATTCTATAGATGCTTGTATTATTTTAAAAAAATTTATCACAGTGCTCCATGGGATTCAAAATTGTGAGTTCAGTGCTCCATGAGGTTGGCAACCAATCTAGGGAACCATGTGTTATTCCTGATGGATTGGCCATCAGGAATAACACCTGGTTCCCTAGATTGCCCGACATAACCCTCCTGGATGTTTTTCTTGTAAGATTATATGATGTAATGTTACTGTTTTGAAATAAAATATAATCCTTGAAATCTCATCTTTCTTCTTCCTAGCATTGTTTCCTCTCTATGGCAGGGTCCACTGTTCGGCACATCCATCTCTGTCTGGTTCAATTCAAGGCATCCTTGTGGGCTGCATTCATATGTTTTATGTCCTCCTTTAATCAATCCATCCAATGCTTCTTAGGCCTGCCATGAGGTCATCTGCTTGCAGGGTCAAGGTGCATGCCTGATCTTGCTACTGAAGATTTCTAGTTGTGCACAACATGTCTGTACCATCTGAGTTGTCCTTCATGCATTTTTGCCATGGTTAGTACAACCCCAAGCCATAGATAGATGTCCTTGTTTGTGGCATTGTCAAAACATGTTAGCCCAAGGCACCATTGGAGCATTCACATTTCCATTGCATGTAAGATTTGTTTGTGGTTTGTTGTCACTGGCCAGCACTGTTATCCATAGAGGGTGACTGGGCATACCACTGTTATATACATTTTTGACTTGAGACGTAGTGGAATTCAACAGTCACCCTGGACACCAGTGACATAGTGCCATTTTATTCAGGTAGCATTGACCCTTGCAATCTCTACTATTATACAGAAAATGCTAAACAACACTTGGCAACAAATTATCAATTGGACATTTTTTGTGCAAAAGAACACATGTTGAGGTTCACTGAATATATGAAAACAACTTTAGCATTTGTATTAATTTTTTGTACTAAAAAGCTTTTTGAGTTATTCTTTCTTTTACTACAAACTGCATTTCAATAGATTGCATCAATTTTTTAAAATGAAATTTTATAATGTTGATCTTTCTGGACACCCTGAATATTGTGTAACTCTATTGTTAAACTCTCACATACATTTTTCAGAACATATTGAAAGTTTATGACTACTTAAAAATAAATTGATAAAACTGTATGTATGTATGTATGTATATATATATATATATACAGAGGGTGTATCAGAATGAGGTTTTAAAAATTTGGGGGATTGTAGAGGATGAAANGACAAAAGGATTATTTAATTATTTTAGCTCTACAATAAAACTAATATTGTATAATAAATTGATATAAAAAATACAGATTCTAATCATAAATTTTATGTATGTAATCTATTATACCTAAGAAACTGAATGTAAATTAATACTGAAAAAAATAATAATTCAAAGCTTTGCAATATAGATCATTTTCTAACATTTATACATCAAAATACTAATCACTTGATGCTTACTGTTAAAATATTGAAACAAAAAGATGGAATCTTTATTTAACAACTAGTTTACCCGTCGCGCATTGCTGCGATCTCAGAAGAAACGAAATTCAAGCAAACTCGTTATAATAAAATTCAATTTACATTTTATAATTTTTATTGAAACTTATTATTATTATTAATTTTCATCAGGAAAACATTTCAAAGTGTTGTTTCAATTCTATTTATTTATTGGAGTGCTTGTGGATACACGATATTTTTTGTTTTTCCATCTGGTGCATAAACAAATAAATCAGAAGGTTTTCCGACGCATGAGCTGGCCACATACAGTTATCCATGTGAGAAGCATGGATTCTCCAAATCTAGCCCGCACACTTGCAGTGATTGTCAGAAGTGCGATATTCCCCATTTTTATATATATTTGTTAATCCTTTACAATTTTAATTGTTTAATTGCTCCTTCCTCTCTTCCTTGGCATGTTGTGAAATTTCTGATAGTTGGATAATAAACCGTTTTATTGTAATTTGTCTTTTTAAATTATTTTGAGTTGATATTAAAATTTGGAAAAGGGGGGTCCCTAGATCGGTAAAATAGGCAAATTTCCTCCTACAACTTCAGTTATTGTTCGTGATACAGTTAAGGTTTTAACAAAGTTCGAGCAAATACATAATTAGCAAAAAATAGTTGAAATAAAGTGAGTAAACAAAAATTATTACAAATATCGTAAATAACAGTTCACAAATGCATATATAGAGATATTTTTTGGAGGGGGAAAATGGTCTTCACAATTTGAAATCGATCAAACTCACGATTAAATGCTCGTATACACTTGCGTCATCTATCGTAGGATAAATGTACTATGCCAGAAACCTTCGCGAGAGTGTATTAAAAAAACTTCCCAAAGTTTCATGGCAATCGTATTATGCCAGAAACCTTCACAGGAGTATATTAAACAACTTCCCAAAGTTTCATGGCAATTGGATAAATGGTGTGGTAATGCATGAAGAACATACAGACAGACAGACAAACATTCATTTTTATATATATAGATAATACTTTTTTCTTGTAATTAAGGAAATTGATTTAATTGTTTTATTATTCTGTGTTTGAAGATGTTACATTCCATTTTTACTTTCTGCATAAAGGAAAAGCATTCCCATCTCATTTTACTTTCACAAATAACCAATAGAGATTGTCCATATTTAGTTAGTAGAGTTGTTATGGTGTCATGAATGAGAATATATGCTTTATCTTGATGATCCATTGTTTTGTAAATTGCTCAATTTTACTTGAATATTTTCAAATATTTCTTTTACAGACTCTAGAACTGTATTTCCATTAAATAAATGATGATTATAAGTCCAAACAACAACTATTACTGGTACTTACATGAACAACTTGAATATAAATCATAAGAATAAATTCTTAAAAACTTTAAAGAATGAAATAGTATCATAAAACATAACAAATGTGATTGCACAGCACTTGCTATTATCAAGATGTAATATATAAATTTATATACATTTGCAGTTATTCAAACTAGCATGAACAATGTCAATAATTTATCACAGCATAATTAATTAAGCTACATAGACAAGAAATTTATTTAAACAAGGTTTATATTTTTAAAATATTTATTCATATTTTATAATCTCTTGATGTGAATCCCACATGTATTTTTTCAGACATCAATAAGATAGTTGGGTTCTTGCCAAACATCTGGAAATATGTATTTTTATTTGAATCAATCTATATAACAATTGCATTTAAAATATTGTTTTCTATTTTTCTTACATATATTAGAAGTGTACTAAATATTTTTATGTATATATAGCGGATAGCACGAGAAGCAACATTTCGTTATCAGACAGTTACAGTTCCAGATGATGAGGCATCAAATTGTTTGTTTGTCAATGGAACATTGATACATCCAGCAGAATTTCCAGAAAGTACAAAAGTAAGATTATTATTATTATTATTATTATTTACACAAAAATTATTGTTCAAAAGATTAACACTTGAATTTAAGGCATAATTCTATTAAATTGTTATATGACTATCAGATTATTAATTTAAAATCTATCAATATAAAAATTTGGATTATTAGATAATTTAATAAATTATCAAATAATCTAAATTTTACAATTATTTACATACACGTGTGTGTGTGTAAATAACTTGTTTTAGTACAAATTTTATTACATGAAGTGATTAATAAAGGTTTAATCACAATTGGTAGTTTCAAACTTTATAAAAGACTGTCCTCATATTACCTCATTCATTTCAGGCTCCATATTTTTATCTGTATTAAATGCTTATTTCAGGTAGCCAACTGTTTTAAGTTTCCTTGAAGGAACAATTTTGTCCTGTTTTAGGACAGTTTCAGCTTTCTAAAGAATTTAAGTCACTGTTCAAACTAATTTTAAGCAATTGTCTATCTGAAATAAGCATTTAATACAGATAATGATCAGATTTTTACATCTTAATCTGTATAAGAGCAATAAAAATTATAAAACTTTCAAAAATTCTAATTGGATAAACATAATTTTACATTAGAGAAGGAATTCCAATTTACTAGAAATTTGATCAGACTATCAGATTATCGTGTAAAGATTATACAGATGCTTATATATTAATCTGTGCATCATAATATGCACTTTTGGAGTTTTTTAAAAGGCTAAATGCCTTGTGCTTTCATATGATAAACTTTATGTTGGTTCATAAAGGTTAAATATTTGATACTAATATGATTTTATTCAAACTTCATATTCCTGACTTATATATAAGTAAAAAAAATTAAGATATTTTTAATAACAAGACATTAGTGATTAATTTATGCTATTACTTTACTAATTTATACATGATTCTTTTAACAGGTTTTTGAAGGTAAAATAGATTTCAGCCATATGACACTAAGGACTTCCGAGTTATCAAAAGTTGGTGGCGCATTGACACGATGTTCCATTCTCATCAAGAAATCAAAATACATTAAGAAATTGTAAAATTAATATGTTATAAACATTTTAATAATGATTATAAACATGAAAAATACTAATCATAATATGTGGCTTCCACTGTTTCATAAGCACTGCCTTTATCAAATTTTGCCTAAAGCTATCAATTAAAAACTGATCCACAAAAGCAATGTTTTACAGGGATGGGATAATGTGTGCAATGAAATTTTTGTTTTGCTCTCTTTAATGTTTTACATATATGCATTTAGTATTTTGTCGTATTATAATTAATAGAATTATTTTGTATATTAATCAGAATATCACAAATTCTATATCTACGTGATTTTAAACTAATTAGTATCATCTCAATTATAAATTATTTTAAAAATTATATACAGCATTTTTAAATTTTTAATTACGAATATTAACTGAAATGTTAAGAACTGAATTTACATTATTCTTCTTATCTTTTTTGTTACTTTTAATTCCAAAATGTTTAAATGAAAACAAAGCTCTGGATTCTGTTTGATTGTTGATATTATACATTTTGTAGTTTGCTGCCATTATATTATCATCTACAAAAAATATCAACAAACATTTACTAATATAACTTGCAACAAAATATAGTGTAGCTATTCCTAACAGGTTTACCTCATATCTAGTAGGACTTATTAAATTAATTAAAAGTTAGTTAATCAAAAATTTGTCTTGTTAACTGCACAAAATTTGAGTTGAAATTGTCAAGTATCTGATCATTTACCTAATTTTTTTTCTAATTAGTTTTGTAAAATTTTATTGATAATTTTGAAAAAGTATTCTTATTATTATACAGTAGAATCCCAATTATCTAAGGTATCATAGACTGCAAGAGTATCTGGAATAATTAAACTTTGTTAACATAGAATGTTTGGTACAGAGTAATTGAAAAATGATAGTTTTATGTAGATTACAATTAATGTGAATTTTTTTAAAAAGAAATTTTGTTTTATCACCAGAGTAAATTTTTTAAAAAGATCCCCTTTCACGTATTGCACATTCCCCAACCAAGCATTTATGATACAGATTGTCAACAGAATGTAGTATAGTACAAAAATACTCTTCCACAATTCACCTTTGTTAATTGGGACTATACTGTATTTTTATGGATATGCTATTAAGTAGTTTATCTTTATTTTAACTTTTTTTTACAATAATAAAATCTTATGTTTTTATTCATTTGGTTGTAGCATTCCAATATATTTTGCTATTGTTGATTGTTAACTATAAATTATTTTTGAATACATATGACTGTTATTCCATCATTCTTCCAAAGGCTATTTGAAATTATTAATTCATGTGCCTTTTTACTGGGACCGAACTAAAAATCATCAAACCATTATCAAAAAAAAAGTATTATAACAATGTCTTCTAGTTATTTACAATTATTCCATATTACAAAATTAACATAGACTATCAAATTACAAATGAACAGCAAGAAATGAAAAGTCTCTGCAGTGCTTCTTCCAACAAATATTTTATTGCTTGATCAATTAAGGAATGACAGCACTGTGTTGCCTTGTGCTTTCCTTAGTTTTATTATTATCTGTTTTAATATTTTCCATGTGTCTGTTCAGAAAATTAATTTGTAAAGTTGACACATGTAAATGTCATTTTTTTTTGTGCATGTTCTGGTGTAAATGATTCTTGTTCATTTTTCATTGTAGCAAGTTTGTGATGCTCCTATTAATTAAACATGACATATAATGTCATTTATATATATAAATATTTGTCTATGTATTGTATATACTGTATATGCACATTATGTAAAGGCAAGAAATAAGTCTGTAAGTATTAATAAGAAAATATAAAGATATATTATCAGAATGGAATGCAATCATATAGCACTATATGCTTGATACAGTGCTTAACTAACCTGTATTTTCCTTAAGACATGCAGAAAATAAAATAATAGAATAACTATAAATATACTAACATTCCAATATCAAAAGTCATAATAAAAATATGTATAATATGACAAAGTGGATGATGAAAATCATCATAATTTAAAACTAAGCATCCATTTGTTATGTTAAAGACATTAAATATATATGAATATAATAATCAAAACTGTTTTATTATTTTCATGAATAATAAGCTCTGTTTCTAAATAATACAGTATAAGATAAACTTTTAGGTGTTTACAAGTAAAAAATAAAAGAAAATTCAAAAATTTCTTGTGATATTTTCATTGATATTTTGACTACAAAACTATTGCTCAGTAAAATGCTTGTGTATTGCTAATTAACTAGCCATATTTGTTATAACACATTTCTATTTATCTTTTTTCCATTATTGTTCTATCAAGCAGGTGCTGTAGTTTCTAAATGATCCATGAGAAATATCTATTATTTCACAAGTTTGTTTTTATTAAGGGTTGTATAGTATCAATAAGAGTTTAGGAAGTATTATTAATAATGTGCATTATTTTTTTGATAGCTTGTGCTTTTTGTTACAGACATTTGCCACAGTTCCTGAGTTATTACAAATATTAAAATAACTATTGCAAAATTAGATGCATATAATGCATCTCTGGATAGCTGGTGTTTGCATTATGCGTCATCTTTTGCAGTGGTTGATAAAAATTACAGCATAAATTATATTTCTAATATTTATTATTCGATACTTTCCCTTTTTTTTAATCAATTATTATATAAAATGCATTACACTAGAATTGATAGAGTATTTTCAGCAATTTTTTGAGACATTCTTGTTAGTTAAATGTTAGTTAAATGCATTGTAGGTGTTATTTTATACATTTGGCTAAAAATTTATTATATGTGAATATAGCATTACAGAATTAATTAGGCTTTACTTTTGTCAAGGATATCTTTAATTAACAATAGAAATATTCACTATAAATTTTAGTTTTTTTGATAGATTTATTCTGTCAAAATATGCCGTAAGTTTCTAAAATCTGTTATGATGTTGATAAAAATAAAATGAGACATCACGAATAATTTTGTGTAAAATATAGTCTGATGCATTCAAGCATAATTACTTTATCTAAACTGTCAATTGTTTCTTGCACTACATATCCTATGATTTTTATATATACTAATTATTACTGATTATTTTACATTACAGAAAATATATGAATTATTCTAATGTTATTAGAATTAATGAATGACAGTCTAGAATTTGGATCAATAACATTAATAAATAAATTCAAAAATTCGTGCTTGATAGCATCTTAATCATTGTTTAAAATTATATTTCTATAAAATGATAAATAATAATGATTTACAGAGATTTGATAGTTATTATCATCTGAGGTCATAAAATAATATTGTTAAATCAGAGAACTTGTGATACAGTTAATTAAATTTAAAAATTTTTGATGCAAATTGTTAATAATAAATTATATAGGCCAATCTTACTTAAACTGATTTTTCAGCAAAAAATTTAGTCACGAAAATTGTTTCAGTATTGTTTAAGCATAAAATTTCTATAATTTCATATTAGACTAGATTGATTCTACAACTATGAAAGCTCAAGAAGTTCTTTTTTATTCGTTGTAATAGTTTTTCAAAAAGTAGTTAAGAAATTAATTAATTAACCAGAAACTAGTCATTAAATTCCGATTAGTATGTTAACCGAGAAAAGTTATCATTTCTAAATCCAACGTATTTTGTAAGAACTTAAACTCAACCCTAAGTTATTAATTTTAAAAATTTTGTAAACAGTATTATGACTTTTTAGATTTACTTTGTAAATCAGTCCAATTCTTCCTATATTTGATTGTTCTAAATTTGTCTGCTCATGTTGAATTTGTAGTCAAATTTCTTACTTTGAATGTAATGTTGTGTTAATATAGTAGTGGAATTGTAGAAAATGTGTGTAAATTTTTTTAAAAGTTTTTTTTCGTCATTTACAATTTTGCTCATTATTCAGATTAATAAACGGAATTAGATTGTAACATTACGCTAACATTATTAGCATTGTCATAAATATTAATTTGTGATCATATTTTTTTGATAAATAGGGACAAAGATGACATATTTGGCTGTTTGTAGTACAGAATTTGAATATTATATCTTATAATATTTGCTCATATTTGATTGCCTTCTTGTCCTTGTAGATTATTGAAGCTGATGTTATAGTTTTCTATTGTCTCAATATCTGCATCAAGAATCTACCAGTTATAACAGGTAAGAAGGGAAGCAAATGTGGACAAATCTTATACCATATGTCATCTTTGTTTCTAATTTTGGCTGCATATTTCATCAATCAATAAGTGCATGTGTTTTAGTTTGTTGCTAGATTTGTGACCATAACTTCTGCAGAATGAGTTATAAAATGTTTTAATAATAAAGATAGGGTAAGTATATATATATCCATTCATTATTCATTAAAAAGTTGATTGAGGTTATATAATTCTTGTTATTTGTATGGATAGCATCTGTTCTGATTTAGGGTATCTCAGCACAGATAACATCAGATATATTTGAACAAATGAAGTCTTTTTATTAATCTTAACTAATAGGATTTATATGCAGCATTAATGATGTTAATTCTTTATTGATGCTATTGATTTTATATATATAAATTTGTGGTTGATGTTAACTGTATTTATATCTTTATAGTTATCAAATTATTTTTCACCCATAAGCAAATTAGATTTTTGCAGAAGAAATATTTTTTCACCAGTTTGTACATTCGTTACTGAGTAGCCACCGAGAATGCATTTTATGAGCATAATTTTTTTTTTATTCTCTCAATTTTTTTTAATAGAAAAAATGATACATTTATGATTTATTAAAGGGGAGAGTCAACCAAATATGTCATTGTTAATTTTATTAAAATGCACTTTTTAAGTAAGTATTGGTTATTTAGAATAATGTATGTATAAGGCTCTCCCTTCCCTGGTTTAGTAAATTGATACTTTGAACCAATTAAATATATCTTTCTTGCACTTAAAACTACTCTCAATCTAATATAATGTATATTAAGAAATGAAATGTGAAATTCTTGTATTCTTTTGTACTTTGTGTATTTAATAAAATTAAAGTCTCAAATAATTTTTATATTAATTTCTTTTATCTTTATTTAAACTATTTACAGATATAAAAATTATAGTATTTACTCTCACGTTTGAATGCACTATAAATTATTGCAATAAATTACATAGAAAGATATTGTTTTCAACTTTTTTAATATAGTTTCTTGAAAATCATGTTATCAGGTAAAAAATTTATAATTTTTTACCTGATAACATGATTTTTTGATTTGATAATTTTTTGATGTAAAAAATTATAAATTTTTTACATCAAAAAATTATTCCCTTTACACTAAATCATTCAAATAAACAATTTTATAATATACATCAATTAAAATACTGCTATTTTTCCTCATAAAACAATATACTATTAAATACAAGGCAGATTCAATAAATATGGCTAGTAACACACAATAATTTAGACAACTAAATCACAATAGCAGACTTTCATTAAATGTATATGGAGGTTATTTCTTTTTTTGGAAATTTTCCAAAAAAATAACCTCCACTAAGACTAATAAAAGTAATAGGTATGCAGTTAAAAATATTAGAGAAGTTAAGGAACATATATTATAAAATTTCTTTACATAATTAACTTTAACTCTATTACAAAACTTTCCAAAAAAGTATAAAATTTAGATAATACCAGAAATGGGTAGTAAAATTAAAAAATAAGTGATCCCTCTTCTAGAGATGAAAAGACAGATTTAGAAATGTCAGTAATGTATAAATTGAGTTGCACATGCAAAGAAAATTAAATTATATCGAGGAGACAGGGAGAAAATTAAAACAAGATTGAAAGAACATGTGGCATCAATTCAACTGGGACATATCCAATTTCTTTGTTTTTGCATTGCATGGAAAAAGGCTGTGCGATAAATATTACATTTTAAAAGAGATTTGTATAAACATAGGTTTAAAGAACTTATTGTCCGTTTTAATATTCCCTATAAGTTAATTAATTTACGTACTGGTACAGAGATGATGGGAATGGAGAAGTCTGATAAAATAAGAGAGGAAGTGAATGTGTGGAAGTTGAGGATGTTAAAGAAAATTTGGTTACAGAAGGATTGTAAAATTTTTTTTGGTCAGTGTATGTTTTTTTTTAGTTATATATATATATTTTTTATAATTTTAGTTTATAATTATTAATATTTTTATATAT